AATGAGTAGCAATGAGTAGCATGAGTCGCAATGAGTCGCTATGAGTCGCAATGTGTCGCTATGTGTCGCAATGAGTCGCAATGATCACAATGAGTCGCTATGATCGCAATGTGTCGCAATGAGTCGCAATGAGTCGCAATGAGGTCGCATGAGCTCGCTATGAGTCGCAATGAGTCGCTATGAGTCGCAATGAGTCGCTAATGAGGGTCGCAATGAGTCGCAATGAGTCCAATATCACATGAGTCGCAATGAGTCGCAATGGAGGTCGCAATGAGTCGCAATGAGTTCGCAATGAGTCGCATGAGTCGCAATGAGTCGCAATGAGTCCGCAATGAGTCGCAATGGAAGTCGCAATGAGTCGCAAAGAGTCGCAATGTGTCGCTATGAGTCGCAAATGAGTCACAATGAGTCGCAAAGAGTCGCAATGAGTCGCATGAGTAGCTATGAGTCGCAATGTGTCGCTATGAGTCGCAATGAGTCGCAATGAGTGCATGAGTGCATGAGTCCAATGAGTCCGAATGAGTCACAATGAGTCGAATGAGTCGCAATGATCGCAATGAGTGAGCAATGAGTCGCAATGAGTCGCTCATGAGTCCAATGTGTCGCTATGTTGTCGCAATGAGTCGCAATGAGTGCAATGAGTTGCTATGAGTCGCAATGTGTCTGCTATGATCGCATGATCCAATGAGTCGCAATGAGTCCGCTATGAGTCGCAATGAGTCGCTATGAGTCGCAATGAGTCGCAATGAGTCACAATGAGTCAGAATGAGTCGCAAATGAGTCGCAATGAGTCGCTATGAGTCGAATGAGTCCGCTATGAGTCGCAATGAGTCGCTAATGAGTCGCAATGAGTACAATGAGTCAAGAGTCGCAATGAGTCGCAATGAGTCGCAATGAGTCCGCAATGAGTCGAATGATTCGCTATAGTCGCAATGAGTCGCAATGAGTCGATGAGTCGCTATGAGTCGCAATGAGTCGCAATGAGTCGCTATGAGTCGCAATGAGTCGCAATGAGTACCAATGAGTCGCAATGAGTCACATGGTCACAATGAGTCGCAAAGAGTCGCAATGAGTCGCAATGAGTCGCAATGAGTCCAAATGAGTCGCAATGAGTCGCAATGAGTCGCTTTGAGTCGCAATGTGTCGTTATGAGTCGCAATGAGTCGCAATGAGTCGCAATGAGTCGCTATGAGTGCAATGAGTCGCAATGAGTCGCAATGAGTGCGCAATGAGTCGCAATGGTCGCATAGAGTCACCATGAAGTCGCAATGAGTCGCAATGAGTCGCAATTGAGTCGCTATGAGTCGCAATGAGTCGCAATGAGTCACTATGAGTCGCAATGAGTCGCAATGAGTCCAAATGAGTCGCAATGAGTCACAATGAGTCACAATGAGTCGCAAAGAGTCGCAATGAGTCGCAATGAGTCGTGATCGCAATGAGTCGCAATGATCGCTATTATGATGAGTCGCAATGAGTCGCAATGAGTCGCAATGAGTCGCAAATGAGTCGCAATGAGTCGCAATGTTGTCGCTATGAGTCGCAATGAGTCACAATGATCGCAAAGAGTCGCAATGAGTCGCAATGAGTCGCAATGAGTATGCTATGAGTCCGCAATGTGTCGTATGAGTCGCAATGAGTCGCAATGAGTCGCAATGAGTAGCTATGAGTCGCAATGAGTCACAATGAGTCGCAATGAGTCACAATGAGTCGCAATGAGTCGCAATGAGTCGCAATGAGTAGCAATGGTCGCAATGAGTCGCTTGAGTCGCAATTGTCGCTATGTGTCGCAATGTAGTCGCAATGAGTTCGCAATGAGTTGCTATGAGTCGCATGTGTCGCTATGAGTCGCAATGATCGCATGAGTCGCTATGAGTCGCAATGAGTCGCTATGAGTCGCAATGAGTCGCAATGAGTCCAATGAGTCACATGAGTCCGCAATGATCGCATGAGTCGCAATGAGTCGCAATGAGTCGCAATTGAGTCACAATGAGTCGCAATGATCGCAATGAGTCGCTATGAGTCGCAATGAGATCGCAATGAGTCACAATGAAGTCACAATGAGTCCAATGAGTCACAATGAGTCGCAAAGAGTCACAAGAGTCACAATGAGTCCACAATGAGTCGCAAAGAGTACGCAATGAGTCGCAATGAGTCTGCAATGATCGCAATGAGTCGGCAATGAGTCGCAATGAGTCGCAATGAGTCAACAATGAGTCGCAATGAGTCGCAATGAGTCGCAATGCAGTCGCTATGATCGCAATGAGTCGCATGAGTCGCTATGAGTCGCAATGAGTCGCAATGAGTCACAATGAGTCGCAATGAGTCACATGATCACAAGATGCGCAAGAGAGTCGCAATGATCGCAATGAGTCGCAATGAGTCGCATGAGTCGCATGAGTCGCCAATGTCGCTATGAGTCGCAATGAGGTCGCAATGAGTCGCAATGAGTCGCAATGAGTCGCAATGAGTCGCAATGAGTCGCAATGTGCCTAGAGTCGCAATGAGTCACAATGAGTCGCAAAGAGTCGCAATGAGTCGCAATGATCGCAATGAGTAGCTATGAGTCGCAATGGTGTCGCTTGAGTCGCAATGAGTCGCAATGAGTCGCAATGAGTAGGCTATGAGTCGCAATGAGTCACAATGATTCGCAATGAGTCCAATGAGTCGCAATGAGTCGCAATGAGTCGCAATGAGTAGCAATGAATCGCAATGAGTCGCTATGAGTCGCAATGTGTCGCTATGTGTCCGCAATGATCGCAATGAGTCGCAAGTGAGTGCTATGAGTCGCAATTGCCGCTATGAGTTCCGCAATGATCGCAATAGTCCGCAATGATCGATAGTCGCAATGAGTCGCAGGTCAATGAGTCCAATGAGTCAAAGAGTCAATGAGTCACAATGAGTCACAATGAGTTCGCAGCATGAGTCGACACTGAGTCGCAAAGAGTCCAATGAGTCATGAGTCAATAGTCCGAAAGCGCAATGAGTTCGCAATGATCGCAAATGAAGTTCGCAATGAGTCGCATGAGTCGCAATGAGTCGCAATGAGTCACAATGAGTCGCA